CAACAAATTTTGGTACATGTTTTCAAAGTTATTTATTCATTTATTTATTTTAGCCACATTTGTTTCAGTAATTGTTTTGATAGGTAATTGTCCAAATAAAATAAAATAAAAAATAAATGAATTTGGATATACTAACAAAGACCTGTTCAGACAGTAAAAGGCATCAAAATAAATTGAAACAAATATCTTCATATTGAGAAAAAAATAAATCCTTACTTACTTATAGAGTACAGAATTAAATCCTTACTTGTTAATATCATCAGAAGAATAGCCCGTAACACCTCCGAATACCACTAACACATAATCCACATCTAGTGATCTCATTATGTTATATGCTTCATCTTCATAAGATGACATTGCACGTCCGACAGTAGCAATATGTGTGTTATTCCAGGTGTTATTGTCAACAATTACTGTTCTGTTCCCCATGGCGGTGATTTGATAGCCATAATCCCACCATGACATCACCTTGGAATCTGGAGGAGTGTTCTGCCTCAGCCAGAAGTAAGCTTCACGGTAATCATCAAAAATGACCCGGTTCCCGTGGGCACCCCTTGCAGCTAAGACAATTGAAGGAGATGAATATGCCTCTGATGTGACCCAGGTACAGTGGATAGCATATCTACTGAGCAAGTAAAATGCACCTAGAAGCAATGCAATAGCACCATTTCTTTGAAATGGTAGTGATTGATCCAGTGAACCCTGGTAGCACAGCATACACAAGAAACATTACCAGTTTAGAAGAGAAGCACCATGAGGAATATTATGCAGAAATTACTGATAAGCCAGAAAGACAGCAAAAATACAATTCACATAGAGACCTCATTAGCAATTTACCTACTTACGATGGACACGAGTTGACAGATTCTTAATGGTAGAGAAAGAACCAAATATGATAATGGTAGAAAAAGAACCAAGTATGATACATGGTACTTAGACAAATCGCGTACTTTGTATTTCAATATCTATAGTAGCCAACAACTTAGTATCTTTATGTACTGTTGCCAAACCCAATTTAGGATGGACCCTTGGGACTTATATTTATCCGACGAAGTAAATAATCACATGCCACAGATGATTTTTTAATATGTCACCTTCATTTTGCATGAGCAAAGAATTCAAAGACGTAAAGAAGAGAAGGCTATTTTCCAGCAAAACACATGTCCTGATTGTGTTTCGCATAAGATACAAAGAGAATATAAATCAACAGTGGGATAATATCTACCATATTTTTTCTTTTGGCTTAATCGTAGACCTCAATGATGTTAATCCCTTGACAATAGAATTCTATACATGGTCACACATTCTACTAACCTAGAGAATGGAATTTTGAGAAAAAGGATCTTCAGAAATTGTAGAAGCATTTCTCCTATTTCTTTCAATTTTCTTTGGTCAAGTATTTCTTGTTATGATTTTTTTCCCATTGTGGTCAAACCTTGAGTTTGCTCCTTAATGGTCACCCGTTCGAATCTCCTCATGACCACTGAGATGAATACCCGG